CGATAGTTCATCAACTATATATGGCGCGTTTTCGACCGGAGGCACCGGTTGACCTGAAGTGATGCTGTGACCGCGCGCTCTCCGCCCTCTATCTCGAAAACGGTTCACCGTATAAAAAATTAAAAAAAAAAATTGTAGAGAATTTTGTATTCTACAATATTGATAATAAATACAAATAGCAAAAAACCCATAGGAAATGAGATATTTCCAAAAAAAGCGCAAAAAACCGATTTTTGTGACCTTGAAATTTAATAGTTGCTTACACCCTACCATATGTAGGTTTTGAGACAACTTTTAGGGTGTCAATATACAAGTATTTACAGACTTACAGCTGGGTATCTCGAATTCCGAGGTGAACTTACTATAATGACTGGACTAACATGGGACACATAGGAATTTGCTGACACCTAATGCACTTTGGAATAACGGATTGTGTTGAATAACTATTGTGGAATATACAAAAATCAGAAGAGATAATGAGAATGCCTTCTAGTTTTCTACTCTAGGCCGACAGAAACAACAAATTTAGTTCTAGACAAATATCTGGGAACCCATAAAATGGCGTCCAATCATCTGAAAAAACAATTTGTTCAGGCCAGTCTCAACTCTCTACATGGTAGGTTAATAGACTGACATCTATCAGAAAACAACTACTCCTCTGGCTAATACCACGAAGAGCGTTGAATTATATCCGACAGGTGTCAATGCAGGATTCTTCACTGAAGTTATTCCTGCATATGCTGTTGGCGATACAACTACATCGACTTCATGTTGATGATAGATACTACTTTGCACTGACGAGTGGCCAAACAGCCCAGAACCGGTCTGCAAGATAAAACCACACAATTCAATCATAAATTACGATTTTTATGTCACGGAATAAGTTTGATCTACTTATGTCATCGATGGCAGCATAATGACATTCATTCACTTATTTAATTAAATACATGGTGTAACATAAGTACGTTGAAATATTCAAGTGACGTATTCCTGATACAATTTTAAAAAAAAAAGTCTATATGAACTTGTGTCCGAAAATGCCTCATTTCGGAGATACGGGGTGTTGAAATTTTTGTTCGCTTTTTGAAAATAACTCTGGCAAAAAATAAGTTATTTGCACGGAATTCGGTACCCGGGGTTTTTTTGACGTGGGATATCATAATTTTGTATTAATTTTTATGTAACATCTACGCTACATTATTTATTTCAAGTGGCCCCAACTTTTTTGACAGTAAACTTTTGGTACTTTTCATGAAAAAACCGTTTTCGAGATATTTACAATTTTCTATATCGATGCATATTACTTAGCTCCTAGGGCGCTAAGTGAAGTTGCTGAGAACATTACAAAAACTAAGTATGTGGTGGATCTCGTCAAAATAAACAACATTTTTCTACAAAACGTTTAACGAAGAATGATTCTTTTTCGAAATACCGATTGTTGAAATTTTTCAAAACATGGTAGGTTTTTGTCATAAGTTTTTTGAAATTTTAGTTATTCTCATCAAACTTTATACGCAGTATACCCGTACAGACTTCTTCTAAACCGAGCATTATCGAACTGCTCATTCAATCCAAATAAAAAAAAAGGCAGGTTCAATTATTCAATTAGAAAGTGCTACATTTCGGAGTTTGTAAAAAACAATTCGGAGAAATACTATGTTATTCATTAGGAAAATAAACATATAAAAATTGAACGAAACAATTATTCAACTGTTCAAAGTGACCCCCAACAGTAATACAAGCTTCTTCTCTCCTCATGAAAGAATCCCGCACCCGTTGAAAAATGCCCGGAGTGTTTCTTACTGTTTCGCAGCAAGCTATGATGCGATCCCTCAACATTTCCTCGTTTCAATAGAGCTAGCATAAACTAGTGATTTCAGGTGTCCCCAAAAGAAAAAATCGACGGGATTGTGGTCCGGTGACCTCGGGGGGCCAATGCTCAGTGCCTCCTCTTCCTATCCATCGTTGGGGATATGCTACGTCTATAAAATTTCTTGCTATCATACTAAAATGAGCAGGAGCTCCATCGTGCATAAACCAAGAATGATTTCGGAGACCATGTGGTTATCTTCCGCCCAGATGTGGTTGTCATGGAAGTTCATGATACCATTTCTTGAAAAATTTGTCTCATCTGTGAAGAGCATTTTCGATAGAATTTGCCGATGTTGTTCGACTTTTCTTTGAAGCCATCGAACAAATTCAATACGTGGGTGGAAACCACGAAGCGTAAGTGCCTGGACACGCTGAATATGATAAGGATATACTTGCAGTTCCTCTAAAATTCTGTAAACTGTCATGTGACTCACATTTGAAGTTTGACAAATTTTTCTTGTACTTGTCTCTGGATGTTCACTAATTTCTTCGAGAACCGCCTACTCTAATTCTACATTTCTTGTAGTCCGTGGCCGTCCTACTGCAGAATTCGTTTCAAAGCTTCCAGATTCGGAAAGTCGCCAAAAAAAATTCACAAATGTCGCTGCACAAGGAGTCACGCGTTGGGGATACCTTTCCTGATAGATGCGTCTGATCTGGCTTGAATTTCCGTCAGCCAAGCCGTATGCAAAAACCATATCAGCCATTTCAGCATTCGTAAAGTCGAGCATGGTACTGGATTATTTTAACGTACTTATGTTACCCCCTCTATAATATAATTTAGATAGATACTGAGGAGCCCTATGTAGGTAAAAATTTTGCCAATCATTCAGTATATTGTGTAGAAATCCTGTGAATGATATCTCATATGATTCTATAACGAATGTTTGGAAAAAAAACTGAGTAGAGAAAAGTGTTTTTTGTATAATTCAGTGTTCATATGAAAGTTTCGAAAGAATGTTTCTTTCGTGTAATTCAATGTTTATATGAAAGGAGCTGTTTCAGGAGGGCTTTTTCTTCCAGTTTGTGTCTGAAAGTTACTTCTTTCCATGATCTACACATCATGTATAGAGTTACTTCTTTTGAAATCGATTGCTTCCTTTCTTTCTTTGGAAGATTCCCACCTTATTTTGTATCAAGATGGAGTAGTAGAAAGCCAAAAACTTTCCCAAAAATTAGTCACTCCTAAAAATGAATTGATGGATGTAGCCGTTACTACGTGGTAGAAAATTATAGTGAAGAAAAGTGAAATGAAACTGTCTTCATTATGATTTGTGTTTACCGTTCTATGGTTTTTACCGCTTTCATTTGTAACTAACGTTATTGCAGTTTCGTCTCATGAGGACATTTTCAAACTTATACATTACAATTTAACAAAATGTATAAGTTTGAAAATATCATTATAGGACGAAACTGCAGTAACATTAAACAAAATGTATAAGTTTGAAAATGTCCTTCTAGGACGAAACTATAGTAACGTTAGTTACAAATAAAAGTGGTAAAAAATATAGAAAGTTTCAATTACCTTTTCGTCACTTCTGAAAATATAACCGTTTCAATAACCGTTTTTTTGAAAAATCGATCGATAAAAGAATTAAGAAACTGCCACAATAGAACATAAATCAGCTCAGAATGAACATAAGGCTGTTAACAAAAAAAATTAAAAAATTCATGAGAGTAAAAAAATGTATGGACAACCGAATGTAAATCTAGATGAATGTAACGAAATATCTAACAGAGAAACTTTATACAATAGTACAGAGAATAAATAACTTCGATTGTCTTTTAAAACTGAGAGACAAAAAACAAGAAATGATGTATTTCGTGTAATTTTCTGATTTGCTATGACTCGTAAAATTCTTATTTGAATGGCTAATTTTGGCAAAAAACTATTTTTTTCATCTAACCCAAAGAGATTATAATGAATATATATAATGAAAATTTCAGATGTTGTTCCAGAATGAAAATGAATAAAAGTTCAATATACAAAATCATAATCCTTATATTCACTTCCCCAAACACCATAATTGCATTTCCATTATTTTTCATTTTCCATTTTTCAACTGTCTGTTATACCAAACAAATATATCAAGATCAAACACAATCTCCAACTTCAGTAGGGTATTTAGGGTATTTTTGACAGTGTACATTACGTCATTCGAAACATATTTTTGTTTGTATTTTGCTTACTTTCAATAATTTTTTTAGATATGATTATTTTTTCATTATCAGTATAAAATTTTCTCTTTGTTGAATTAGGATATGATGAATGAGTGAACAACAATAGTTGATGAGCTGCAACATACACACCTTCTGCTCAGTTATACTGCAATTGTTTGTTATGGTTAGATTGTGCTTACTTTCACCAAATGTTATTGTTATGATTGAGTAGAACTGGCCCATACTTGATGAAAATCCATATTAAAACTAATTAATACAGTGTTTCGCTATACAACAGTTTCCTCAAGTGCTTGAGTGAAAATCATACAATAAACTGTATTAATTATTTTTTTTGTTATTGTTATGATTATGTTTTTCATTATAAAGATGAAATTTTCTTTGAAACATATCAATAGACAATGTTAGTGATGATATTATGAGCTGTATATATACACACCATTTGCACAATTGGACTGTAGTTGGTAAGAGACGGAGGCTGAACCAGCGCTTTGACCAAAAATAGTTATTCTGTTATGATCACCTCCAAAATGATTTATATTACGTTGTATCCATTTCAATGCCAGACATTGATCTTTGAGAGCTAAATTTCCAGGAGCAATCGTATCGAGAGTACTGAAATATCCAAAAATTCCTAGCCGGTAATTGAAAGATACGTAAACCACATCTGCTTCAAGTAACCAGTCTGGAGTGTGCAGCGAATAAGATGAGTTTCCAGCAACGAATGCTCCACCATAAATATATACCATAACTGCTTTTTTTTCGGTCAACTAAAATATTGAAAGTGTTTTTTTTTTATTCGATCTCCAATGTGGCAATATTTTTAATTTCTCTAAACAGAAATTTTACGAATTTTTATTTCATATGATATGAAAACCTCTTTGTACCATATAGATGCGATTATTTATCTATTTCAGCTTGAGTATTATTTATTGAGGGTGGACTCAATGTTTTCGAGCTAATCATTATTCAGTGGGCCTTCAAAACGTATCACACGGTATATCTGCCAGAGTCAAAATTTCCTAGAGGAACATAAAACCTCAATAGGTTTGTAAAGAAAACAAATTTTGAACCAAAATTTATTACAAAATTTGCAACCCTCTAAGTGGGGTTCCATCTCACAATTTTTCAAATCACAAGCAATACGGGAAAAAAGACGTTTTTAATTGTCGTAGTTTTGACAAACTTCTGTAAGGGTCTAAAATTAATGTGTAATGGAAGGACACTATCACTTTGAGATATGTTCCTGATAGGTTTTCCTCTCGTTCACGAAAAAAAAATTGTCTATACTGTCCAGTTAACTTCCTCTCAGTTTCTCTCATGTATGAAAATATATAGCATGGACATACCTGAAAGTAATGGATGTCCTTCCATAAAGTTAATTCGAGAAGTTGAAGTTACAAACTTTGAAAAATCTTTTACTTTCCAAATAGATCAGAAGTCAAAATTTATCAATATCGCTGTTGTTGTTAACAAAAAATCATTTTTGAAAGGCTGAAAGGCAACCATGAAGATAATATGATGGAAGCTGGAAAGTGATGTATCTGTTGTAGAATGAACTGCGAGGAGTGTGATGGATTATATTGCTCAAAACACTGGAAACCGGTCATAAACACCTATGTTTTTGATGTATTCAATAATTTGAATACATCAATATGTAACACAAAAACTACTAACATCGAAACAGTCTTATTTCAAACAACTCATCGTTTACTCATCTTTTCAGTAAAATTTCTCTTTAGTTTGTACCTTAGAAATCACTGTCATGTGAACAGCATGGATGTAAAACCGAATTGCAGAATGAGGCTACATTTTGTTAGATATGAAATAAGTGAAATGGGAGTGGAAGATTCAGTATAGTCCATCTCCAATTCAGATAGTCCATCTCCAATTGACACCTACTTGGTTGATAAAATAAGTTTTGAGAAGAGTATTTCAGTTTTGGTATGTGAGAAAAGTTTTTATGAAATTCATCAGTTCGTACAACCCTTGTCTAATATGATATGATTTGAAATCTCTGATATATCAAATGAAAATGAAAATCAAAAAGAATAGCTGAAAATGACAATTATATTGAGCAAAAAATTTCAAATCAAACAAACAATTCAAAATTGAACAAGTAAAATGGAATAAAATTTAAAAATCAGTAGATTTCAAGCCAAGTTACTACACAAAGTTTCGATTGCCAGTAACCACAATAGTCTTCGGGTTATCACTCAAAGACGATTTTGGATACCAACAATCGAAACGTCGTCCATGGGTCATCACCGGAAGATGATTGTAGATACTAACAATCGAAACGTTGTGAAGTAATTTGGCTTGAAATCTCCTAATATTTAATTTTTATTTCATCGTAATTTGTATGAAGGTGATTGAAAATGTGTCATGTCATTATGAAACCCATTGTAATTTTTTGCTTGTTATTCCCACCTATTCTCTTTAATTTCCAATTTCATTTTTTATTTCAGAAATTTCAAATCGTTGTCAACCACATTTGAACAAAAATTTTTAATTGTATTTATACCATAATACAGGTTTCAGGTTTCTATCTTTCAGTTTCAATAGTTTATTTATTCAGAATATGAATCTGAGGGTACAAAATTCAACCAGAATAGAGGAATACTCGTATAGTAGACATTTCGTGTGAGTCCCCTTGTGTTATTTTAGCATTAAAGTTAGCAAGAGTTGATTTCATCACAAGACAATTTTCAGCAAAGAGATATTTAGATATATTTTGGTATATTGTACCTACTCATCTTAATAAACCCTAATATGTGATTTAAAATCCAATACTGTGATTACAAAATAACATCAAATGGGATCAGAAACTTACAGATCACTTACCGATGTAGTATACACATTCACGTATAGACAGTCTTCTGAACCGGTTACATCAACTATTCCTTGTACACACTCTGGTTTATCCTTAGTAGCATTCAGTATACCAGTCCATTTGAAATTTTTTTCCGGAGGCTGAAATGACACTTGATGATGGAATATCGGTCTGAATAATTATTTGATGTTAAATTCGAAATTCTGCTCTAAAATTACACAGGACTCTAATCATCTTATAGAAAGTTCAGTGGCTGGCCGTAACTCCGTACTGGAATGAAGAACCATTGTTGCAGAGAACTTGAACTCACGAAACGTTACAATTAAAAGTTAGGGACAACTAATAATCATTGATTTATCGATNGGGCATTAAGATAAATGTTACTAAGGATATCAGGCGAATCAACTAAATTATTTATGACTTCAAAGAGGAACTTCACATCTGAAATTACTCTTATATTCGCTAGTGTTGATATGTTTAGTTCATTCCGAACATAGATACGGTTATTGGGGTGGAGTGAAAACCATTTTTTATTGATATAGTCTATGAATATATTCTGTACCTTCTCAAGTTTATTTATGTAAATGTATCTAGGGTTTCATATTACAGAGCCATAACTCAGAACACTATTCACGTGTGACATATTGAGAGTACGAGGAGTCTGTATATTCTCAAATTCTCGACAAGTTTGCATTATGAAACGTAACATTTTGTGAGCTTTTTTAGAAATTTAGAATATATGTTCATGGAAAAGCATTTTCGAATCAAATATTACTACTGAGTCCTTTATTTCCCTGACAGTTTGTAAGGGACAAGAAGATATTTGATATGAGTGATTAAGATTGTTTATTACGCGTCAACATCAGAAATTGAATGGTATATTGTGAGATCATCTGCAGACATTAGAAAATTGGCAAATCGAAAGCATTGTGATATATCATTCATATAAATATTAAATAGAAGTGGCCCTAGATGTTTTCCTTGGGGCACTCTAAATGTAATTAGGAAATGTTCTGATTTGTGTTTGAATTAATGGACATAGCCATTACTACGTGGTAGGAAATCATAATGAAGAAAAGTGAAATGAAACTGTCTTCATTATGATTTGTGTTTACCGACTGTTACCGCTTGACAACGATCAGTCACATAAGATTCGCACCAGTTCAGCAGATTGCCATTTACCTCGACTTCAGCGAGCTTCTGTAGCAAAACTAAGTGATCGATTTCGTCAAAGGCCTTGCTGAAGTCGGTGTAAATAGCGTCAACATGGTGTATGTCATCGAGACTATGCCGGATATATTCAGTGTAGGTGAATAAATTCGAGTCAACTAATCGTTTCTTCATGAAGCCATGTTGTTCAATGATAATTATATTTTTGACCTTGAAGAACAAGTTATCAAATAGAATGGATTCAAAAGTTTTTGCTATGATGGACAATTTTGACAATTTTTTTTGGCCATATTTGAAGACTGGGTTTATATCAGCTTCTTTCCATACTGAAGGAAACACGTCCTCTTTGAGGGATTTATTGAAGATTATGTGAAGTGGTAATGCAATCTATTCAGCACAGTTTTGAGGAATGTTGTTGGTAGCTCATCTGGTCCCACTCCTTCATTTGGGAGATTTTGAAGTTTTTGAAGGATAGATTGTGAGGGAATGTTATAGAAACAAATGTTGACATGTGATTCTTGATATGTTGCGTTATGAGCTGGGATAATTCTTTTCGGATTGAAAACCGAAAAAAATATTCTGAAAATGTTTTGCACATTTCACTAGGCTTTGTATTTATCCTACCATCAACTCTATGAACATCAACAATATGAATAGATCACAGGTTAGAAAAAAAAATTCCCAATGAAACCACAGACACTTTCTACAAAATCCAATTTTGTGTTGGGTGAAATATCTCGAAAAGTGAACATTATTATTATTTGATTTGTATTCGTAGATTGCTTCTTACCCAGAAAAAAACCATGACGAAAATCCGGTAAACGCAACTGAAGTGCTATACATTGGAGGAATTACAATTAATTGTTTGTAACATTTGCAATTTGGAAAAAATTTTGATGATGTTGTAAATATCCCGAATTTGGGAAGTGGTATACGTTGATTTGAAGTAACTCAGTTATTCATTCAAAACTAGTCGGCAGCAAAAAAAGGTATTCAGAGTTCCATTCAGAACCCAAACCAGATAAAAATGCGGATGGCGATTGAATAACCTTCGTTCTTCAGACATACCAAATGGCTTTATTTGCCCGTGGCTCAATGGAAAGCGGCAAATCTACAGATTGGTAAAAATAACTCTCCTTCTCTGAGAAATATGCTTTCAATAAAATTGAGTAGAAACGCAAAAAGTAGTAGCTGAAATGAAACAATTCACTTTGGTTCCTGAACCACAACAGAAATCTCTTCAGGAACTGCATGTTCCTTATAAAAAAAAACAATAAAAAAATCTTGTAACGGTTGACAAAAGTTGTCAGTCAAATATTACTGAAATAGTTTGAATCAACTTCATATGAAGTATTGATTTGAGCATTCATTGTCAATGGTTTCCACAAATCACAAATTTGGATCATACCTTTCAGTTGTGATGCACTGTTCGGAACCTTTGGTGTAGTAATGAATATCACCAGAGTTTTTTCCCCAACACCAAATCGCTATTTTAACGCCTCTTCATCTTGAAGATGATAACTTGGTGATCGAAACATGTGTCGAGGCATTAAAATAGCGGTTTGGTGTTGGGAAAAAACTCCAGTAATATTCATACCTCTCAGTTATTAGTTGCCACACGTACATCTATTTCACATTGCCAATATACAAGAATCAAACAAAATAGATGAATGAATTTGCAAGAATTCCTTCGTGATGGATTAGAGGATAAATGATTGGTTAGTGAATGAAGTGTTCTAAAACGGTTTCCTTCACAAGTAATTCTGAAAAGCTCTCCATGAGCCAAAAAGGTGAATCTCGGGGTTCTATTATGAAGGTGGATGAGGCTGGCAAAAAATGAGAAAAATTCTTGGTTGTACTAGGTGAAACAATAAACATTCCTTTTCCTTTCACCTGAAGTTATAGTACAGGAAACGTCGAAAAAAGTCAAAACGTCATCAGGAGTTTGCTGTTTTAGACGAACAACATTCGTTGTCAATTTGTGCATCTGAAATGATTCTTCACTTTACGTTTTCGAAGTTATATACATGAAATATTTTAATGCATCCATCTTCTTTGGCAATTTTTAAAGAGCTTTTGAACACTATACTTTTGCAATATTCGCTGCTTCAATCTCTGCTGTCCGTCATTCCATATTCGCTACCACTAACTGACCACAAATTAACAAATCCAGCCTAATCTTGAGTGATGATATAGAAGTTGATGCAATGAATAGCTTGAACCGAAATGCCCATCTTTTATTTATTTTGGAGTCGATTTGTCTCTAGATCCCAAAAATAAACGATCCATTTCCCTGTTGATGCCAAAATGTGGGAAACATAATCATTATTTCTTTTCGTCAAAAAGAGGAGGCAATGGATATACAGTGTTATCCCCAAAATATGCACTATATGGGATACTTATTTATTAAGGGTTTTTCGACAAAAAATTATTCCACATGAAAGTTTGTGCATTCCCTGAAACTGAATATGCACCAACAAAATGCAGTAAAACACACGTAATATACGAGGAGCCTTCATTTGATTTTGAGATAAGAGTAAAGTACCCTTATTTTGGAAAATCTCGGGAAATGTTACCTAGAAAAGTTATTGAGCATTAATATATCTAGATGTTTAGTTTTAGGGGATGCACAAACTTTCATCAAGAATAACATTTTGTCGAAAAACCCTCGATAAATAAGTTTCCCACATGGTGCATACTTTGGGGATGACACTGTAGATGGATGGATATAGAAAGTAATGAAAACGAAACAGCACTTAAGTAATTATCCTATGAATAAATTATATTCTTTATTTCATATTTCAGCTCCGATATCGAACTTTTCAAATATTCCATTACTAACTGTGGTTGATATTCATTATAACGATATAAATGTGAAATTCCCTCAAATTAACAGTTGAGTGAATAACTATTATTCGTTTGGGTACGATATTGCTTAAGTTTGTTTAGCTATTCTTTCGTATACCGAATGACAAACTTGTGCTGTCATCCAAACAAGGGCTCTCTGAATTAACGTTAATTATTTTGTCTTTCTTTACTAAGTGTCGCAGAAAAGGATGACGCCTAAAAGTTTATGTTTAATACACCAGGTATGTAATGATTCATTGCTCAGAGTAATATCTTACATTGGTTCATTGGAAACTGTTAATAAAATACTTACACTGAATCTCAGGTTGCCTACTGGAGGCTTTGCAAATGGTATTCCTTGGAAGGCGATATACGGTTTATTAAGGTTGGCTGTTTTATCGTATCTACCACGAATTCTACCGTCGCCAATTGTTACAACAGGGTCCCCCTTATACTGAAAATTATAATGAAAATATAATCATCTGAAATGATCAAAGTTACGATTCAAGTCATTTTGGTAACGGTACAGGTCAGATTGGAGAAAAAAATTTTGAGTATGTATGTGTGAATTCGTTCACCAACTCGCAAAAAATATTCATCAAATATTCATCAAATATTCATCATATGAAAATGAGTTCCAAAATTATTGAATCTGAAATTTTTCATATTTCATCTCCGAGAAATTACTTTTCTGACAATACAACTTGTTTATCAATAACTGCGACTGCGGTAGTCTAGCCTATTCACATACCTGTTCAAACATTATTCATGCTTTCATTTGAAAATTTCATGAAACACTAATGATTTGGCATCAAAGTTTAAGCATGAGCTGAATTGTATTTTCAACAATTTTGAAGCAACAGTATCATGGGTATTATAATACCTATGATAATGTTGCTCTACTTCAGCTTTGGTTAAAAAAATACGTTTACATATCCAAACCTAGTACGATAATTTGATTCATTTTCAACCACAACAAATATTTTGTAAAACTTATATTAAAGGCAAGACCGTTATCATGACCTATAACAATCATTTTGAAAACGCCAAAGGGTCGGTTGTGGAAATTAACTTCAGATTAGAGTTATGATAAATGGAAACGACCAGCTCATATGTGGTCTTGATGAGTCTGTTGAAATCTTTTCAAATCTGTTTTCCGTTAACTAGCTATCGTACATGTATTAACGATAACCCTAAGAAGTTGAAACTTTTGCGAGCTGATGATAAACGTAGTGTCACATTTCAAATTGTGATTCTTAGCACGAATACTATTTAGATAATGTCAGAACAGGTGACTATATAGATAATGTCACAACAGGTGACAGTCACAACAGGTGACATTATCTATATAGTATATCACAAATTCAATTTTTTCAATAACTTTTTGGTTAATAACTTTCTCCATCATTTATTTACTAGTGAAATACATTTTCATTTATAGTAAAATTGTTTTTTTTTCACATATGAGGATAAAAAAATGCCTTTTACCTGCCCATCTCTTACATTGATAGATACTTTTTGGAAACTATTCGCAAAACAAGCGAGCAATATATAAATTTCCAAGTTCATTTTATTTCACTGTTTTATTATGAATGTTAGCGGATTATCGCTTTTATATGAGGATGCAGTCTTATCAGCAATAATTAGCATGTGCCTGTTACGAAAAATTCAAGTGATTTCTGAAAAAATTTCACAATATATCGGCTGTCAACAAAAAGGAATTTGAAGATTTGCGAAACATCTACTATAATCCATACAGAAATATCATGATAAATTGAGAAAGTAGACAAAGAGTGAACATTCCCTATGAATTCCATTGGAAATATTTTTCTTATCAGAGAATTGACATTATCGCAATACTTGGACGTATAAAAATGAAAGAAGTTTATGTTGAAAACATATATAACATAACATATAAAACATATAAAAATTCGTATGAAGACATACAAATGAAAAAGTAGTTTCTCAAATATCTCAGATGAATTGGTTATTATGTCGTCAGCATAAAAATCTGACATTATTGAAAAGGGGCATTATAGCTTCAATTCTGAATTTTATTTGAGTTATGGTGTTATGGATTGAGTCCAACATATCACATATAATGGCCGCAATGAGGAATTGACCGCGGTGGTAGTGCGCCCGACTCACGATCGGAAGACCGTGGGTTCGATTCCTGCCTCGACCAGAGAATTTATTTGGTTGAAGCTGGGATGATTCTGCAACCGTGTTAGGAATCACACGTTGAAAGGTAGGACCTCGTTAGTCCTTAGCTCAACTTCTGAGAGTTGTCGTTCGTTTTGAACAGATTCAAACAGAGACAGAAAATGAACCCAGATAAAGGTTATTTGGCATTCTCTGCCAAGTTGCAACGTAATAAATCAGACAGTACCACAACAATAATAATTCAACAGAAGCTGAATTTTTATATTTTTGTACTTTTTGAGATAGTAGTAGTGAGATTCTATATAAGACTTCCATTTTGATAAACATTTTCTCTCTTGGAATTGTACTTAGTGGTAATTATGAAACCGTCCGAAAATGCCACTAATCCATTTGATAGACACAAAATCACTCCTCTCTGCAGAAACTTCGAACATCTTCTGCGAATGCATTCAATTCAATAAATAGTATGTGTTGAATTTTTGATCAGACCTATTAACTAATGATGAAACGGTTTCAAGCCATGTCAAATAATGACAAACATTTCACAACACACTTCGTTTTCATAAAAACTCATTTACAAGATTTCCCAACTTCTATTTACATAATTTATTGTGTTTTGACAATTCAACAAAGTACCGTTCCTGATTCAGTAAGAAAATATCAACAGCCATAAAACTGTATTTACTATTTCCCAATACTAAAGAAACAACAATTTAAAATAATCTCTTATTACCCCTGCAATCGGTCAAACAGTCACCTTCAACTGTCAGGTAAACAAATCGAAGTCACATGTACGTTTTATCATTTATCATTATCATTCACTCAGCATTCGCATCTACACGACTAACTCGTCCTAAGGCAACTCTGCAAGTTTCAAGCACACCTGTATACAGGGCCGCAGCGAAAAGAAAAACCAGGGGGGGGGGAATTCAAATTTTCTCAACTCCACCAGCAAAATTTCCCAACTTTCGAAAAAATGAAAGCCGAGGGATTAGTTACTACTATAATATATTAATTTTCTTACTTAGCTATCCAAAGATTGGCTGAATGCTTATGCCCGTTAGGGTATGCATAAACAAAAATAAATTTTAGTGATTATAAAAATAATAATGGGAATTATTCTACTTTGGACCAAGGTCCTTGGTCTTCCACCATATCCAACATGTATAGGAATTTGAATTGAAGTGGTTATATTTTTAGGAGTGATTAATTTTTGGGAAAGAAAGTTTTTGGCTTTCTACTATTCCATCTGATACAAAAAAAAGTAACTCTATACATGGATGTGTAGATCATGCAAAGAAGTAACTTTCGGACACAAACTGAGAGAAAGTCCTCCTGAAACAGCTACTTTCATATAAACTCTGAATTAAACGAAAGAAAAAAAAATCTTTCGAAACAAATACTTCTATATCAACACATAATTATGAATTATGAAGCAGATCAAGCTTATTCCGTGACATTAAAAAATCGTAATTCATGGATGAAGTGTGTTTTTTCTATAATGTTATCCAATTTGGTACTGACAGCCTTAGGGCAAGTGTCTTAAGGCGAAACATCGGTGTATACCAGTGAGGGTGATAGTGTTCCATGTGAGTACAACATTTCAAAACTTTTTCCCAAGTCGAAAAAGCAGGGGGGGAGGTTCCCCCCATTCCCCCAATGGCGACGGCTCTGCCTGTATAGTCTGGAACTTCTGTCCAAGGGCACCAAAAATTATGATACAGGGCAGGGCTCATTCTATGACCTCTAGCAACTTTTTGAAAAATTTCAAGAGGAGCTCGAAAAAATTGCAAAAGTTATAAACAAATCAGTTAAAAAAAGAAGCTTTAATTTTTTGCAAATATCTCGGTGAATATTCCTTAAAAAAGTCCCACCTCTCGGAACTCTATCACCAATATTTACAATTTTGAATTGATGGCGAAAATAGCGCTAAAATCGGGTGATGCGCGTCCTGTACGTGTTGACCGATATAAAACAATAAAAATTATTTCAATCCATTGAATATCATTATAAAATACAAATCACATACCTTCTAACCACTTGAGTAAACGAAAATCCATGGAAAAACATAATCTCATGATTATTTCATTAGATATATTTTAGTTGATTAACTAATTTCTACAAGTTTTGAATTTACATAAAAACCATCACACATTGTTATCAATAATCAAAGACGTTAACAAGTGACAAAATCAAGTGAGGTAATGAAAAAAGAATTCCAAATATTAAAATTTTTTCGTATTCTTATTATTTGAAGTTACATAAAAATGATTTTTCATAATTTCAAGCTCTATTTGTTTGAATAATTGTTACAAACAAAGGTATTGTTCATAAGATAATTGAAGTTTTTTTTGGGGATTTTTATTAGTGACCTTATCAAACTTCATGTCGCGATGATCACAAAAACCAAAAAATTGTTACTGTTACTTCTATTTACTTATATAAATTACTGAGCCATATCTACCGAAACCGAAATAAACTGCCAAAAAATTCTGATATTCACAGCCACAACACAAGGCATAAAAACGACTTGTTGCAAAAAAAATCGAACCACACTTTCCACAAAAAATCACCTCTGATGATTGGAGCGTCTTACTTCAATAGGCTTCCTTATAATATAAAAAATAGTAACACGTACGGAATTTTTAAAAGTAGGTTAAAGAAAATTTTAATGAATCATTGTTTTTATAGCTTACGGGAATTTGATGACTTCCTTTCTAGTAGTGTTAACTGAGTTCATAGTGTTTATTGTGCTTTATGATTTTTTTATATTCATATCAAGATGTCTTGTATACTTGTTTTATGTGTCATTGTATTTATGTGTATATATTCTATTTTGTCAACCTAACCTGTAAACTTGTACTTTAGGAGTATCTTTTTTTGTAGTAAGATTGTGGGGTTATACACCACACCAGACACGTCCAATCCATTGTATAAGAAGAAAACGGATTTAATAAATTTGATTTGATTTGATGAATATTATAATTTTTGAAAACAAAATCATTCCTTAAAAATGTTTTCATTGCTTTAAAAAAAAAACTTTTTTTTATTTATATTCTCTTTATTTAATTGATAAACAATTTGTTCTGAACAAACTTATCCCTACGATATATATTTTAGCTTTAAGAAAATTTTTTCAATAAAGGATTTTATTTTAAAAATAATATTCTTCACTGATAAAAATCCTCCCAAAATAATTTCAAATATCTTATAAACATTACGTTAGTTTATAACAATTTTTCAAACAAATAGAGCTGAAAATTATGAAAAATAATTTTTATGTTACTTTAAATAAGCTTTAAGATAAATTTGAATATTGAAAAAAATGTCATTGCTTCAATTGAATTTTTCAGATTTTGACATCTTTGGTTATTAATAATAAGTGGAAAATTGAATTTTTTTAATTTTTCCATCGGAAATCTTTTTGGTAACTTTCAAAAAAAGTTTCAAGAAGTGAACAAAATTTTAAGTTTTTCAATATTACTGGAGTGTTTTCCTAATCCCAAACCGTTGTTTGTTTATTTTATGATAATTCATGACCACACAATAAAATGAATGGAAACACTGTTGTTTGAATACCACTGGTAGATTTTATACGACTGATAATGGGGTCAAACCCGAAACCGGTCATATAATAATAATAATAATAATAATATCGTTTAATATACATAAATACAATCATACATAAAAGGAAAAGGGTTAGCCAAAGGCTATCTTCCACCCTTCCCAAAAATTATACAGTGAGTATAAGAAAATAATTATAAACATTCTTATTTACTATCATAACAATGATAGTAAATGAGAAGAGAAAAAAATAATACATCATATAATTGCTAATAACTCTTAGTATTCTCATTATTATTTGGTCAATTCAACAATTTCATTGCAGTATAATACACTGAATTTGGAATTTTTTAAATTAGCACTGAACAGTAAGCATCTGTGATTTTATTTCTTTCCTAAACTGATGAATATTATGATTTAAAAGGGGTAAAATTTCATTCAGATAAGAAGGGGCTATATAAGAAAAACATTCTTGAAATTTGGAAGTACGGTGCCTAGGTATGTTGAATGAGTTGATTCTCAAATTGACCATACCTATGTATGTTAGAATGTCTGCTTAATAAACTATATGAATAACTAGGTGTTTTAGTTTGAAGCAACTTAAACAAAAACATTTTTATGAAATATTGGACTCTGTACCTCACATTCAGCTCCTTCATTTTTAACAAAAATGGGGTGACATGTTCACCATATGGTATACAGCATACGAATCGCATGCAAGCATTTTGTATACGTTGTAACTTCTGTTTGTTATATTGCGGCAAAAAATTGTAATACACCAAACAACAATACTCGATATGGGGATAAATGAGAGTTTTAACTAACCTTAGTTTCATTTCTTCTGATACTTGAATTTATATAGC